CTCTCTCTCTCTCTCTCTCTCTCTCTCTCTCTCTCTCTCTCTCTCTCTCCTCCCCTTTCTCAAGGGGAACCACTGCTCTGTTGCTGTGTTGCTGTGGGGTTTATGCTGCAAACTGCAGTCTCACTCTTCCCCAATGAACATTAATCCTGCCCTTTTGCTTTCTTTCCAGCCCCTAGGCCAGAGGAACAACTACAGCTCCCCCACAGTCTGAGACTGGCTCCGGGGGCAGATTGCGGTCCTCCACCATCATCTTGGGTATACCCCCTCTCCCCCACCCCCGCCTCCCTCCTATCTCTTTTTTTGACTCGGCTCTCTGGTCCTCCTTTCCTAGTTGCCATGGAGACTCACGTCATATACGTGCCGTGCGTCGCCTTGGAAACAGAGGAGCATCCGAGGCGCGGCTGGGAAACCCGCCCCTCTCCGCCTCTCTTCAGCGGCCGCTGCCAGTTAATGGCGGCGTAGAGGTAGCCCTCGGACCCAGAGCCGGACTCGGCCTCGGCTCCCGCCTCAGAGCTAGCTGCTGGGCACGTTCCTGCGAGGCCAGGGGTGGCCTTTGCGTTCGCGGCTCCCGGCACTCGGCCGGTGAATCTGATAGAGTTGCCGGGGGCCAAGTCCGAGGGCCCCCCCTGCCAGGTACTCTCTCGCCCCCCCCCCCCCCGGGACCCGGACTCCTCTCCTGGGACCCTCCACCGGTGGGGCCCCCTGCTCCCCTCGCTGCCCCCAGCCCGGGGGGCTGGGCCGGACCTCCTGCCGCCGCTGCCGCTACTGCCGCCGCTTCCGCGAGTCAATGGAGGACGGACCGCTGGAGATCCTGACCAAGGACGGTGACCTCCCGGGCCCCCTGGAGGTGTCCTCGGTGCCTGCTGTGGGGGACGTGATCTCGGGCGAGTACAACGGCGGCATGAAGGACCTGATGGAGCACCTGAAGGCCCAGCTGCAGGCCCTGTTTGAGGACGTGCGGGCCATGCGGGGGGCCCTGGACGAGCAGGCCTCGCACATCCAGGTGCTTTCCGACGACGTGTGCGCCAACCAGCGGGCCATCGTCTCCATGTGCCAGATTATGACCACCGCGCCCCGCCAGGGCCTGGGCGCGGCCAGTGGCCCCGACGGAAGCGACCGGGGCTCGCCGGGAGCTCCCGACACCCCCCCTCCCAAGGAGTGGGGCTGTGGCTCGCAGGATCCCGGGGAGGAAGGGAAGGAGGTTCCCAGTCCGGCCACACCCACTAATCACTGTGAGAGCCTGGAGAACCCCTGTGCTTGCCTGCTGGAGGGGGACGGGCCACTCATGGATGCCCACGACCTGCCTGACGTAGCCCTGCTACATCTGGAGGGGGAGAACTCAATGTAAGGAGGCTCCAGCGGGGGGCAGTAGCTCCGAGGCACGGTTTTGGGTTTTTGGTGCATGATGATGAGGGAACTGGACAACTCGGTGCAGCATGCTTCACTTGGGTGTCTGCTGTGGGATGCTAGGCAGAGACTCCTCTAAAGAGGAACCTGTGATGAACGGGATCATCATGGATTCTTCCTGCCTAACAGACAGAATGACTGGCAAAGAGGCTAACAGGGAAAGGTGAAATGCAAGGGAGAGGAAACCATTGGGCATCTCTGGACTCCCGTCCATACTAACCCTGCCCTTGCCCCCCGCCAATACAAGAGCCCCTGAATTGTGTAAATAAAATTCTGCTTTTCATATTCTGAAGATGTACTCCTTAGGACTGAGGCAAATTAGATCCCTAGAGATGTATATAGAAATTAAGGAATTGGGGCTTTTGTTTTGGCAGCAAGAAACACCCCTCTGCTGAAACCCACTGACAGTGCTGCTGCCAAAGCCCCTTACCCCAGTACAGAGATCTCTACACCTTCTTGTTGGTTAAGGAAGCTTGAGGAATGAACTGCATGCAGCCCAGGGAGTGTGAATGAAGGGGGTTCCAAAGGCATCTGGGCTAAAAGGCAATGGCTCTCAATGTGCATGAAGATTTGTTAGCTCAACTTTTAGGATATTGCATGCTGAGAAGATCCTGCTTTGTTATGACTTCTCCTGGGATTGCATATCATTGGGGTTTTAGGAACAAGGACCCCAGATCCCAGGCAGAGACTTGGGAACTCGGAGACACAGGGATGCTCAGCAACAGCAGTCTTGGGGTGCTCCTGGGGGCTCTTGGGTACCACAGCCAAGATCTGTCTCTCCTGGCCAGATTTGCTTAACTCCAGTTCCTTTCCTTGCCAAAATTTCCCCTCTTGTAGCCAGCCACTCTGTGTTGCCTCCATGATGTCCCGTGTTATGTTATATGTGACCACTGTGTTGTAGTGTGTGAGCCCCGAGGGACAGAGTTTGTGGTTCACATGTCTGGTTCAGAGGGTTTGAGACCCCTTTGTGAGCCCCACACTATCATGACGCTTCCCCCCAACCCCTTCAGGGCATGGAGCATGTGGTTGTCCTGGGGTTCTGTAAATGATGTGCTGCTTTCCTTCCCCTTACAAGTAGTGACTCTGTGTGCCCTATCCCCTGCTCCTGTGTACCCTTTTTTCTTAGTGCTTTCCTCAATGTTGACCTTAATAATAAAGAGGCGTCATCTCCCCTCCTTGCTGACTGGTCCTGGGGGCATGGTCTGGCTGTCCATTGTATTCTGTATGATGCAGGGCCCAGAGCAGAGCAGAGAGCCACACAAACTCAGGGGAAGTGTGTGTAGTGGAAAAAGCTCCAGAAGACCTGAATTTGAATCCTGGCTTTGCCATTTTACAGTTCAGCTTTGAGCAAGTCACTTAACTTCTCTGGGATTTAGCTTTCTAATAGTAAAAATAGCTAATATTTGGGGTTGGACTAGATAATAGGGCTAGCATTTAGACAGTGTTGTAAAGTTTGCAAAGCACCTTACATATCTTGTGTCACTTGATTTCTAGATAATCCCTTCCACCTCTAAAGCCTGTAATGCTGATTCACCACCCTTTATCCTCCCTGACCAAGGCCATGACCCCCATGCCCAAGGAGATGTTGGGCCTGAGTTAGTGGCTGGTTCTGCCTAACTTCTCTGTCCTTGGCCAGAACTAAAGTTGAAGCAAGAATTTCAGCTGAGATATGGTAGAAGGGCTCTTGTCCAGTGAGGCATTTTGCATCAATATACCTGAATTTCCCAATGCACCACACATTGGAAGAGGGAAACCTCTTTCCACAGAAGAGGGGTAAGGAGGTTTTCAGGGAGGGGAGAAGCACAAAAGAATGATGGGTTCTCTTCAGAAGACTAAAGTACTCCTTTCAGCCTCTAATGGAGAGAGACAATTTGGTTTCCTTAATATCACTGTGTAGAAGTTTCCTAAGGCTGCCTTGGGGGCTGTACTTGCAAACTCTGGGGGATCTGCAGTAGCCTAGAGTGCTTCTGGGTAGGCCCCTTTAGTAATCCAAATTTACTGGGAAGGGTTCTGGGTGACCCTGTTTCATTCTGTCCTTGTCTTTATCCCCAATATATTTGAGTCAGGAGAGATGGGGAATTCCAAACTGATCAGTTGTTGAGGGCTGATTTGAACCTGAAAGTATTTATCCTCTGGTGCAATTGTGTGCTAAATGGAACTTCAAATCCCACCCTGTACCCACAGGGTGGTCAGGGGAGTCCTAGAACCATCATGGTGTTCAGGAATCTGTGCCAGGTTGCTTCACAGCTAGAACTAAGCTAGTGTATATAGGCACTTATGGATGTATATAAGGAAGAGTCCCTGGGGAAATTATGACTGTCATAGTTCCAGCAGCTGGTAGCATTCATTAGAATCTAAAGCGATGGCGATTCCCTTATCCCTCTATGGTCTGAGAGCTGTAATGAGAACAATCCTTAATTTTTCTTGTTGCAGTTTTAGTCTTTTATTCTACCTTCAGGTTAGATGAAAAACAATCCCCTTTGTCCTACTCCTTACAGTCTGCAGTTTTACTTCTTTGGCAAGGACATCACTAAGATGGAAGACTAGGACTGCTCCTTGAGAAGAAGGGAGCTATTATTCCTTGAGGATTCTTAGTCCCAACTGTACTCTGGTACCTCATCCATTTCCTTCAAACCAGGACTAGGAACAAATTCCAGTAATATCTCAAATCTCTTTAGTCATAGGAAGAACCCCGGCTAAGTCTATCTCCTAAGGACACCTGTTTTGGACCCTGACTCCATTTCATAGGGTTGTGATGGGGAAAGTCTGTTGTAATCTTTAAAAGTACTATAGATCGGTCACCTATTTCATCATTTCTTATAGAATCCAGTGTTTAGTACAGTGCCTGGAATATAGTAGACACGTATTAACTATTCTTCAAACTGAATTAATGATTGAGCATAAATTCCATGCCTTACCCCGTTTTCCTTTTTATTACCTGTCCCTTGTTATATACTCCTGATGAATGGGATATAGGACCAATTGGTAGGGGGAAAAGAGTAGACAAACACCAAAATGGCAAATCTCAGTATGTAACAATCACATTTCATAATAGCTAAAAATTGCCCAAGAATAAATGGCTGAGGATGACCCCATTTTGTATATCCCTTTGGGGTCTTAGTATCTTCTGTATTTGCCTAGATGGTTCACAAAAATCCATCGACTTAACAATTTTTACTGTCAAAAAGTTATCTCTTCATTAGTCTAAATCTCTTCTGCCACATAATTTTCAAGGGATATAAAGAACAATGTCTCTCATCCTTCACAAAGTTAAATACTATTACTACTTATCTGTCTTTGATCTTCTAGTCTTTGCCCATGGATCTCATTCTCTAGTCCTGTTACCCTATTTGTGTGTCTCCTCAGATCCTGCTAGATATTTTCCCATGTGCCTCTTTAGCTGAGGCTCATGATAGGGCCTAGAGTTCTAGTAAGTTTGTGTCTAGTCTTGAAAATTGAGAACCTAAGGAAGCTTCCTTAGGTCCATGAGCAATGATCCTCTGTGGAAAGGTTGCTGTAATACCAGGGGCTTTAGCCTTGTATGTGAGGCCACTGTCAACAAACATTAGAATTTTCAAACAGTCTTACCAAAGTTACTGTTTGCAGAGCACACTACTAAGCACTATGGAGTAATATGCAAGAAATAGACAGTATGGTGTTAGTTCCTGATCTTAAGGGAATGAAATGCATGTATGAATCTGAAATGATTTTGGTGGACTTTGGAATATCTATGGAATATTGAAACAGATTTAAAAATATATAAAATTGAATTAATATATCAAATTGAATTCAACAAACATTAAGCACCTATTATGTGCAAAGCTCTGCAAATACCATGATAAAACATAGATTTTGTTCTTAAGTAGGGAGGGAAGGAGGGAAGGATACAAATAATTTGATTGAAGGGAAAGAGTGTGAAAAGGAGAGGTACATCTGAAGAGGGAAAGTCCAAGACCATTATCACTTGGGGCATGAGGTAAGGCTTTAAAGTAGAGGTGATATCTTAAATAGGTCTTGAAGGAATCAGTCAATAAATATAAAGGACTAACTATGTGCCAGGCACTGTAATATACTAGGTGCTGGGGAGGCAAGAATAAAGAGGGAAACAATCTCCATTTGAAAATAGCTTACTTTATGGGAGAAAACTTCAAAAGCCAGAGAACAGCAGAAGTCTATTACAGGAATTCTATGGAAAAATGAGAATGGGGGATAAAAAGTAGTTCACTTCAGCTGGAACCTAGATTATGTGAAGGGGCATGAGGTAAGATTGGAAAGGTGGATTAGAGCCAAGTTGTGAAAGACCTTGAATGCTTCTGTCTCCCTCTCTTCCTCTCTCCCTATGCCTCTCGCTGTGTTTCTCTGTCTCTGTCTATCTCTTTCTGTCTCTCTCTCTCTCTCTCTCTCTTACACACACACACACACACACACACACACACAAATCATTCTCCCCAGTAATGTGAAACTGAACAACTCTTTCTGCAACATGCTTCTAGAACCATTCCTTCCATGCTCCCTCAGACGTCCACTTCCACAGAGATCTCTGAGCTTCGTCCTTGAACCCTGTTGTCACCTCCTCATGCTCTTAAACCGGCACCTGCATCCCCATGAAGTCTTTGGTGCGTAGCTGCTTCTCCTACGCTCCTCCTCCACACGCCACACCCCCACCTTTAGCACTGCAGCATCTCCAGATCCAGAATATTTGAATTCAGTCTGTCACATAGGAATCAGAAGAGGAACTGTCTAGCTCCCCTTGTACTATATATGAAAAAGCCCCCTCAAGTGCTTCCTAGTTAGCACTTTGCTGTTCTTCTTTCTTCCTGTTGCTCTTCAACAGGACTGAGGCTGAGGGCTACTGAAGGAACAACCCAAATCTCTGAGTCAAGGTTGAGGTCTGTTCTCTTGAGATGATGCTAGAATATGAAAGTCTCACTGGGGTCTCCTTCTTATCCCCAGACTCCAGACCCATCTGACCCCTGCCTCCTTGGGGCCAGAAGGAGAGTGATCCCCTCTTTCCTAGATTTTTATCTTATTCTGGGGGCTGAGTCCCTTCTGTTCAATGAGCCTAAACTCAGGTTTCTGCCGTTGCAGTGGAACTGTGAGTGAATCTGTGTATGTGTGTGTGTGTGATCTCAGACTGATCCAAGGGAGAGCCATTGCCCAGCTCTACTTTCATAGTGTAGCTACACTGCCTGTACCAATAGGACGAGTGCATAGGACAAGTACACTTGACCTCCACAACATATATATGTATGTATGTATGTATGTATGTATGTATTCCCAAAACAGTTCTTGGGAAATCTCATAAGCCCACAATTCAGATATAACATACAAGACGGAATCTTTATTACAGTTTTTCATCATAATTCTTTCTCTTGGTTTTTCTCTGCATAGGCACGCACTAGGACTCAGGTCACTACCTTGCATTCTCTCAGATTAGGTCTGAGTGAACAGCCAGGGCTTTCCAGATTTGTTCTCCAGAACAAAGCATCTGTCTGTCTATGGCTCAGTCTCTCATTCTGCCTGCCTCCCTCCTTCCTAGCTAGAGCTCATTTACATTCCTTTCAGTCTCCCAAGCAGAAGCAGTCAGAAAGTTTACCTAATTTAATAGCCACCATTCAAGATACTTGCTAGGGAAGCATATAAACCAGGCAGGGGATGCACACAGCTGCAATGACAGTGAGTAAGAAGAGAATTGGGTTCTAGGCTTTTCTGTCAAGGTTGGTGCTACTTCCACAGAGGTGGAGAAATCAGGATTGCCACTTCCAAGATCCTGGCTCCACTGTACCTGGCTCTGACTCAGTGAGGCAGGAGTGAAGCAGCTTCCCACTTGCTCTCTGGTCTCCTAGGGGCTGCCATATTACAGAATGGAGTAGAAAATCCTCAGTGTCTTATTCCCAGACAAAGGGAAGGTACAGAGGGCTTATGAAGATCCCAAATACCATTTCTCTTCTCTTCCATCTCTGTTTGCTTTTTTGAAGTTTGTACCACTCCCTAAAATAACCTCCTTTGTCCAGAGTGCAGGTTATCTCTCTTCCCCTAACCAGGCACTATGAATCCCACTGTGACCTATAGCCCAGGGATACCCATCTCATAAGGGGAAGAGTCTCATCTGAACTCACAGAGACCCAGATTTATCTTGGGGGGAGGTCCTTACTCCAAATAAGAA